TAATTGCTTGTTCTAGTAATTTTTTGGTCAGTTCTTTCAGATTTTCTACATAAACAATTATGTCATCTATGAACATATTCTTTATCAATTGAAGTTCCCTTAATTCCTGGTGTACTAAGAGTTTTTATTATGAGAGTGTTAGATTTTGTGAAATGCTTTTCTCCATCGACTGATATAATCATGTGATTTGTCTTTTGTAGCCAGTTGATGTGATTTTTGATTGTTGGATCAGTTTTGCATACCAGTTTTTGCAACTGTCACCCAGAAAACATCTCCAGATTGCTTGGTCTGGTGGCCAGCAGGGCTTATCCTTGTGGTCCCACAAGACTGTCTATATTTATGTACTTGAAAACCTGCTGCCTGAGGGTCTGGCTTCTAATCAACCTGATTCTAGGTGCTGACTAATATTCCCTTCTCCCCATTTTGGGACACAGACAGGTCTCAGCATATCTTCAACAACTGGGAGCTATTAAAAATAAAATAGGCTGAGGTACCTGGGTGGCTCAGTTGGTTAAGTGTCTGACTCTTGGTTTCAGCGTAGGTCATGATCTCAGGGTTTGTGAGTCCAGCCCCCCATTGGGCTTGGTGCTGACAGCATGGGGTCTGGGATTCTTTTTCTCCCACTCTCTGCCCCTCCCCTGCTTGTGTGTGCCCTCTCTTTCCCTAAATAAATAAATAAATAAATAAATAAATAAATAAAGTGCATGCCCTCTCTCACCCCAAACAAACAAACAAACTAAAAGAAAAATAGGCTGCTTGGACAATCACAAAGGTTCAAGAGACAACCAGTATGATTGAATGATAAGGTTCATCTCTTACATGAGACCAGTCTTTCAAGAGTGGGAGAGGTGGCAGTTTTATCTAAAACAGGAATAAACATAGAAAGTCAAACAAAATGAGGAAAAAGAGGAGTAGGTTCCAAATGAATAAGATAAAACCTCAGAAAAATGGCTTAATGAAACGGAGATAAATAATTTACATGATAAAGAGTTCAAAGTAATGATCATAAAGATGCTTACTGAACCTGGGAGAAGAATGGTGAACACAGTAAGAACTTAAAGAGTTAGAAAATATAAAGAAGTACCAAATAGAAGTCACAGAACTGAAGAAAACAATAACTGGTCTGCAAAATATAATGGAGGAGTTCAACAGCAGGCTAGATGAAGCAGGAGAAAGGATCAGTGAACTCAAAGATAGGGTAGTGGAACTCATTCAATCAGAGCAGGAAAATGAAAAGAGAATGAAAAAAAGTGAAGCTAGCTTAAGGGACCTATGGGACAACATCAGGTGGTCTAACATTCATATTATAGGGGTCCCAGAAGGAGAAGAGAGAGAAATGGGCAGACTTATTTGAAGAAATGGTGGCTGAAAACTTTCCTAACCTAGAGAAGGCAATGGACAATTAGATCCAGGAAGTCTAGAAAGTTCCAAAAAAGATGAACCTAGAGAGACCCACACCAAGACACATTATATAATAAAATGTCAAAAGTTAAAGAGAGAATCTTAAAAGCAGCAACAGGAAAACAACTTGTTACATACAAAGGAACTCCTATAAGATTATCATATTTTTTTAGCAAAAACTTTGCAGGCTTGAAGGGAGAGGCATGATATATTCAAAGTGCTGAAGGAAAGAAACTTCCACCTGGCAAAGTTATTCAGAATTGAAGGATATGAGATAGAGTTTTCCAGACAAAAGTAAAGGAGTTCGTCATCACTAAATCAGCCTTACAAGAAATGTTAAAGGAACTTCTTTAAGCTGAAGACGAAGTTCCCAAGGTTGTAACAAGAAAACATATAAAAGTATAAATCTCACTGGTAAACATAAATATATAGTAAGGTAGTTGACTAATCACTGATAAAGTTAGTTTGAAAGTTAAAAGACAAAAGTAGTAAAAATAACTATAACTACAATAATTAGTTAAGGGCTATACAAGATAAGATGTAAAAGGTGCCACCCAAAACATAAAAGGCAGAGTACAGGAGGATAAAATATAGAGCTTTAGAATGCATTCAAACTTAAATTGTTATCAACTTAAAATAGATTGTTACAGGTTGTTATACATAAGCCTCATGGTAACCACAAAGCAAAAATATATAGTGGATACACAGAAGATAATGAGAAGGGAATCTAAGCATACCACTAAAAAAACGCTCATCAAATCACAAAGGGAAAGAGCAAGAGAAGAGAGGAATTACAAAGCCTTCAGAAAACAATAAAATGACAGTAAGTACAGATCTATCAGTAATTACTTTAAATGTAAATGGACTAATTTTCCAATCAAAAAGCATAGGGTGCTGAATGGATTAAAAAAAAAAGATCCATTTATATGCTGCCTACAAGAGACTCACTTCAGATGTGAGGACACAAACACACTGAAAGTGAGGGATTGAAAAAGATGTTCCATGCAAATGGAAACCTCTCAGACTTGCCCACACTGAGCCTCAATTACAGTTTAAGTTTTCCTACCTCAGCACTGATCCCCATGGAAGTTTCTGCTCCAGTGGGTTATGATTCTCTGTATTTACCTGACAGTCTGTTCAGTTTTGGGGGCAGCAGTTTGTCTTGTCACTTCACCTATCTTTTGGAGCTAAGAACGGTTGTTGATTTTTTAATTTGTATAGCTTTTTACTGGTTATTAGCATGAAGTGGCTATTTCTGAGCTTCTTAATATGTGGAACTGGAAACCAGAAATCCAGCTTTATTTTTGTGTTCTTACATTTAAGGAAATTTGTGGTTTTTTGCCTCTGTTTGTTGATTGTTTTTGGTCACGATTAGTATAGTGCAGAATCCTTTCACTTTCATGTGACAGGCTTTTGGTTTTCCTTTCACATCCATCTGGCTTTATGTTCTTAAAATTTTATGTGTTTTTGCTGTTGCCTTATTTCTGCTATCTCTTTTTGTGTGTGTAGATTATGGTTCTTAATTCTTTATCCAAGTAATAAGATGATACACGGTTTCTTTTTATTCTACTACTGGTTACATATGTGTTCTGTGAAAACATTTGCAACAAACTGTTTCTTTAATTTTCAGTATGGAGATTCAAGATATAGTTGATTTTCTTTATTTGTGGTAGTTATGTTCTTACGCAGCTACTACAAACACTGAATTAGCAAATACTAAAGTAGTTCCTAGGGGACATGTACAATTAGGTTCCTGTGAGCTTCTAGTCACAACGTTTTTATCAATTGATGAACACATTACCTTGTTTTATGTATACTTCTGTTTAAAGCCATCTTCTTTAATATATGTTTAATATGTAGATTTAGCTCATGGCTGAAGGAAGCTTATCTAATGCAGTTTTTTCATATGTCACATCATCATGTTCTTGTGCTTAGGAACACCAGACAGCCCTTCAGCACTATAGTTGGGGACATTTGAAATAGTAAAATGTAAAAACATGACAATAAATAGACTGTGAAAAGGACACTTGTTTAGAGTTTGAGAGCTGAAACAAGAAGGCAGAGCATTGCCTTGTTCACCTTCAGCTGGAAGCATGTGTATTGGGCGACTCAAATTTTTTTGCCACATTGTGCATGTCTGCAAATAACTTCTAAAATGCTGTAAATATTGATTTTGGGATTACAGGTAAGTTTTGGTAAGTGAATTTACAAATACAAAATCTGTGAATAGTAAGGATCAACCATATCTGTTAACTCTGAAGGTAAAAAATCTTATGTATGTAAATGTATATCTATTTTTGTCTTGTTAGGGTTTTGTTGATAACTCTGTTATTTTGACCCAAAGTGTTATTTTTCAGTGTGTAAAATCAGTTTTTTCAGGAATTTTTTACATTTAATGTTTTATGACTCATCAACAGTAGTTGTTTAGTCTTAGTACTGTGTAACCGATTTTATTCACTCTTTGTTCTTTGTAGACTAGCTTCCATGTCTTTTTAAATTTTGTTTCTTGTTAGCCTGAAATATATAGTTGGGTAATTATCTTCATGAAGAGTTTATCATATGAGTGTTCTCTTTTCTGAATTTTTGTCCAGTTGAGAAGCAGTTGGTCTTGTATGTGTATAGGTATGGGGTTCTTGGGTTTTGATCTTTCTGTTTCACTCTGAAAATTTAAGGATTGCTTCATTATAATTTGTGTTGTACTTTCCCAGAGGAAAGGGTTACGTCTGAGATTAATAGAAGTCTGTTCTCCCTGGTCCTCCTCATTCTCCTCCCCTCTTCTCCTTTTCGTAGATAATTCTTTATCACTCCTTGTTTTTCTGTAGGATTTCTAAAAAACATTTTTACTAGGCTGTATCTAGGTTTTAGCATGTTTTAATTATTTTTTCCTTGTGTACTCAAAATCTTTAGATGTCCCATTTCAGGTTTTCCTTCAATTAGGAACATTAGAAACATTTCATGTATATACATATATATACGTACATACACACACACATATGAAACAGAACATGCTTTATTTAGCAAAAACTGGTGAGTGTGTATGTGGGAAGGCATGGCAGTAGTGTGCAGGGGCTGAAGGTGAGAGGGTCAGGGTGCATAGCATGGCTGAGATGTGACTCAGGATAGAGGAGATAGAGATCAGAAGACTGAGTTGGGCATTCTCTGGTAACTTATCACCTGGTCTTCTAAAGGCTATCTGAGGCTCAAGAGCCCCTGGGGTTTCTAGAGGCCTGACCAGTAAGGAGGGACTTCAGGGACAGTCTGAACAGCAGGCAGCCTTCACAGTGGTCCACAGCTCCAAGTTGGCCTCCAAGGTGGGGATGTCCAGGGTGGAGAAAGATCCAGAACCTGAAGCATCACATCCTTGGCTCCATCATTCAAAGGTGAGAAATACCAGCAGCAGAGCCCAGGAGAGTGTCTGAATTTCTTGGTTAGGTTATCAGATTAGAAATATACTCCCTCCCGTCCAAAAGTGTGCGCGCACGCGTGCGCATACACACACAGATAAAAACAACCACAAGCTGTCTGGATCACTATCTTGATGGCTCCAGCTCAGGGGATTAGGCTCTATTGTCAAGGGAGTCCCCACTACCCTACTGGAATTAGACATAATTCTTAATGGGGTATTTGGAGGGACCCCAAGAGGTGACATGTGTGGCAGACACCAAGTATCGGGCTATATAATGGTATCCACTGTCCCCCTCCCCCCCGCCCCCAGAGGGGCAGGTGTGGCACAGTAGCCCCTCGCTCAGCAACAAGAGGCAAAGAGTTGCTCTACCTAGAAGGAGGAGGCCCCCAGCTCCGGCTTTTGGGCCTTGAGCACCCATGGGTTGTTGAAATCCCGGATGATGGTGTGGGCTGTCCAGCAGATGGGGATCAGGGTCAGGACTTCTGAGATGACAAAGATGATCCCAGAGAAAAGCATCAGACAGGCCTTGGACTCCTTGTCTTCCATGCAGGTGGTACCCTTGGCTCTAGTGAGGTGGACCAATGGACCAAGGAGAGCCAACAGGAGGGTGATGACGTAAAGGGCGCAGACAGTCTGCAGGTCCTGGGGCAGCATTAGCAGTGGGTTGTACACTTTGTACTGCATCTGGCCTGTGCTCTGCACCATGCAGGACATCCACGGCCCCTCCCATGCCACCTGGGCCAGCATGGTGATGTTACTGATGAAGGCAGTCACCATCCACAAGGGACAGGGCACAGAATGCAGGAGCATTCATCCAGCCAAGCAGGGTTAGGATGATCTGCAGGGTCTGCAGACCACCGGAAGCCACAGCAAGTTTAAAGTTGAGAGGAGATGCAAAGGAGCCCACAGGGATTTGTAGGAGCCGCCGATATTATATATTTTAGAGAGACATTGTATAGTGGTTAAGACTATAAACTGAGGAGCCAGATTGCTTGGTTTCCAATTCCTGCCATGATACTAGTGTCTTTGGGCAAGGCTCTTAACATTTTGTGCCCTAGTTTACACATCTGTAAAATGGAGATAATAACAGACTTACTTTAAGATAGAATTAAAAGTTTATGTAAAGTGCTAAGAATAGTAACTGGTATAGTTAGGAATTGTTTATATTATAGGCTTTATTACTATTCTCTCTTCAGCTTCCTCCCTCTGCCCCGGAATTGTTATTTTTTTAAATTTATGATTGCCTCTTTGGGATCTGATTTCATATTTCTCTTACCTCAGTGTTTGTATTTCTTAATTTTTTTGTCGAATCTAGGATAAACATTTGATTTTTTTGTCTTGTTTCTTTACTAATTTGTTCTGGTGGAATATCTAATCCAGACCTGGTGTGATTTTGCCTTTGTTAATCATTTTATTTTGTCTCTGTGCAATTTCTCCTAATCTTCCTTCTTCATAACTTCCTGCTCTAGTTTCACGTATATAATTTTGTTTTGAGCGTCAGTTAGAAATTTTATAAACATGTTTTCCTGTATCTTATAGTAAATCTATTTCTGAAGAAATTTGGTTTATTTAGTCAAGTGTCCATAATTTGAATTGTAGTATCTTTTTGGATGTGAAGTTTTTTTCTTCTTCATTTTTATAGTGGAAAATCTCTGTTAGCCCAATATGGGTCATAACATAAGATAGAATTTGAGATGTATTATAAGAGATGGATCAAACTAAATCTTTAAATAAGTTGAAGGTAAGTGATACTGCTAAGACTTCTGTAATAACTGAGCCAGGGTTCATAGTATCATAAAAACAATAAATGATAGTCACTAATATGTATTCAACTTTTTTTTTTAAAGTGCCAGGAAGTATGCTCAGTGCTTTTACATGCATAATATCATTTAATTTTACCCCAACAACTCTTAGGTGGATTATTGTTTTTGCTGTTTTAAACTTGATGAAGTTGAAGGTTAGAGAGATTTACTTAAGGTCATACAATTTGTAAATGGTGGAGGCAGGATTAAACTCAGTTGTGTGTATGCCGACTCTATTGGTTGAGGGCTTAACAGGTTTTAAGGCCTTAATTGTCAATATTTATTAGGGCTTGAACTCTTATAAGTAGGTTTAGTCCCAAACTCAGACACTGCCCCATCTCACCCATGGTGGATGGTGGGAGCTGTGTTTAGATTCCTCTTGGTGAAAGAATTCCTCAATGCTCCATTTAATATACTTTGAAAAACCATGGAATTTGTTCACTTCTAAATTTGGGTTATTCATAAATAACTCCTCTGATGCACACAGGTAATCCTTCTCATTGCTGTACTACTTTATTACTTGTTTCTTAAGCAGAACACAGTACTGTTGATGTCTTGCTTTTAAAAAATCTGTTGTGGTCTATATAGATATTCTTGGAGTTCTGGGCATATGGTTGGCACCTTTTCCTGGAGAGCAGAGAACCACAGTTTGTATGAATGTATTTTCTGGTTTTTTTTTTTTTTTTTTA